TGTATAAATGATTAATTCATATATATATCAATTTTAGTTTATAGCAATGCTCGTTTTATCAACGCAGCAGTTTAGCTCTCACCTTCTCTAGAGTCTATAGTTGCATGCGGTTTTGGGGTGTGTTGGGGGAGTTAGTGAAATTAGAGTTTTATTTAACAGAGATTTTAAATAACTCAATGTAATGAACCAAAATATCATATCCGAAGCTAAGTGATATATGTCAGAAGCAACAAGAAGAAAAATGTATGATAAAACTAGAAAACATTGTATATTTATTGCACTGATTAAATTATATATACTAATATCAATACTTTATTTATATTTTTAAATATATACTAATACATGTTTATAAAAAGACTTACAAAAATAAAGGCTAAAACACTAATTTGGTCTATTATATTAATTATTTGTTTTAATTTAGTTCCATTTTAATTTTTGGTTTCAATTTGGTCCCAAACTAGTTAATTGGTTTCAATTTAGTCCCAAACTAATTAATTGGTTTCAATGTGGGATTTCCGTCTAAATTATTTAAACGGAGTTAACTTTTAGCTACGTGAATGTCATGTAGATGCATACGTGGATGCCATGCCAATTTTTTTTAAAACACCTGGACCCAGAACGGCCCGTTCTGAAACCGGAACGGGCCGTTCTGAGTGCACTTTTGGTGTTTTAGTTTTGCATCCGGAACGGCCCGTTCCAGGTGCAAAATTAACACACCAAAAGTGCATCAGAACGGCCCGTTCTGGATTCAGAACGGCAGGTTCTGGATTCAGAACGGCAGGTTCTGGATTCAGAACGGGCCGTTCCAAAACTGAGAATAGTTCCTTCATTGTATTTTTGATAATTATGCAATTTTGATCCCTAAAATTTTAATTGAGTAATTTCAGTCTTTAAAAGATTATAGTTGTGTAATTTTAGTCTCACCATTTTTAATTGAATAATTTTAATCTCTCAAATATCATGATTGTGCAATTTTAGTCTTTCTTATTAAAAATATAATAATTTTAAAATTTTAATATATATATATATATAATGTTTTAAAACTATATAATTGTTTGCTTATTTAAATTAACATATATTATAATTTTTTGTAATGTATCAAATGATATATATTTATTATTACTAAATAAATAAAATTTATATATTATTAATATTTTAATATTACTAATAAATTAATATCAATAATATTTTTCCTATATTTATAAATAAACTAATAATTTGATAAATATATATTAATATATTTTTACAAAAATATAAATATATAAGATCAGATATATTTTTCTAATTAATATACTTATATTTTTGTAAAAGTATATTAGTTTATCTATAAATATATTAATAATATTATTGATATAATATCAAAAATTATAACATATGTTAATTTGAATAGATAAATAATTGTTTAATTTTAAAACATTATATATATATGTTGGATATCAGCACATATCAATCAGAATCTGTTGGAAATCAGCATATATCAATCAGAATATTCAATTCTGATTTGTAAAGATTTAATGTTAATAAGATCAATTTTATTTCCCCTCCTTTAATTATTTAGATACAGCATTTATAGGGAGAATTATTTCCCAGATTTTTAGGGATAGATTAGTGTGCAGATTTATTCCCTTGTATTCTATTTATACCACTTTTGTATTTTTCCCAAATCAGAGAAATATACATTGTATTTTTCCGCAATATATATATATATAT